TTAGACAATGACTAAAGTTGTACGAGTGGCTAGTTGTACACTCTTTCCATGGTTGCCCTCTGTGGTTGTAATGCAACTATTAGCTGAATGTACTATCAATAAAATCCTGGGTCGCAAGTACTCACCTTAATATTAAAAAAAAAAAAATTTTTTAAAAGTTTGATATAGGCTTATAATTGTGATCATCTAATAGTTATATGGCAAGAGTCACACATATCTTTTCTTTTTTTTCTTATTTTTCTTCTTTCCTTGTTTTATTTTTTGCATTTGTATCTTTTATTGTCTACTTTTATATTTCTGTATTTTTTTATATAAGTTTTTTTTGTTTTTGTTTACTTCTCTATAAGAAGATGTTATCAGATTGGCAATATTCTATTGTAGAGTAGTAGTCAAATATGGCCTCTGATATACTCTAATTTTTTTTAATATTAGACAGTTAGTGCAAGCAGATTACTTATAAGGGCTTATAGAAGTATCTACAAAATGTTGGGCCAGAATTTATGAACTAATTTGTATATATGTAATACAAAAATATATAATAAAAGTGATCAACAAAACTGCTTAAATGAAAAAAATAATAATAATAATTATTATTTAAATTTTTATTGTTAATAGGTTTTGAACTCATAACCTATTACTTAAAAGGTTAATAATTTATCTATTTTATTAAGTTGTTACATCTTTAATATAAAAATTTATATATTTATTTATTTATTTATATAATATCATAGTAAAAAGAGGTGTGACAACTTAGTGAAATAGATAAGTTGTCAACCCTCTAAGTGGTAGGTAGAAAGTTCAAAACCCATCAACAGCAAAAATTTGGAAAAACCACCTATATATATTAGTACTACAGGCATCTGTGCAACGTTGAAGTTATACAGAGAAATGCAAATTGGCATCAGGCAATGCAAACTCAAGATAAGTTCTTGTGTCTGGTACTATAACAACAGCAATCTGTCAATTAGTTAGGATCAGTACCTGTAACATGGTTACACCAAATAACTGGCAGGTAATAGGGCATCTGCGCAATGTTGGAGTTACACGGAGAAATGCAAACTAATATCGAGCAGAGCAAACTCAAGATAAGTTCTTATGATCGTGTAAATCTGTGAACTAAGAAAACCAGAGCCTACTTAAAAAGACCTGAGTAAAGAGGTAACACAGATTTTCAACAGTACTACTGTAAAGGATAGATTTAGAAAACAGATATTAATGTAAAAGGAATTAGGCAGGCAAGAATCTCAGATGAGGAGTACCACTAATCAGGTCATCAGAAGTCTCGAACTGAAGAAAAAAAACCTTGAGGAGTGGACTCTGAGGTACCAGAAACAGGTCATAGTTCTACTGAGCTATCTGGATTGGAAGTCTGAGATCAGAAACAATGGTATATTAAAGTACTAGAGATATGCTGTAAAGTCAGTACTAGGGTCTGTGTGAACTCTGCAAGAATGAGCTCTGTTAACAAGATACTAAATGTGGGTAGTTAGTTAGCAAGAGGGCCTCCTGAAGTTTTACAAGTTAGGTGACATACTCTGAAATGTGTAATGGCTTGATGGATGTACAGACAGGAAGGTTATAGTTAAGTTAGACAGCACTTAGATATACAGGAACTTGTGCACTATTTGTTGATATAAGTATAGGGATCAGAGTGTTTAAATAGATAATCTCCTAGTAGATTGCAGGTATGGCAGCTAGTATAGAACCTGCTATGCAGGTGGACTACTTAAATTAAACAACCAATAGTTGTACATATGACTAGTTGTATACTCACCTTGTACAAGTTATATAATTATAATTAAAATACAATAAAGGCAATAGCCACCAATAACTATGGCCTTAGTAAAAGCAAAAAAAAAAAAAAATATCATAGTAAAAACTTTAAAATACAATAAAAAATTTAATTACAGAAAAAAAATTCTAAAATAAAGATTTCTAAACTATATTTGTATTGCTAAAGAAAACATCCAATATGATATTACACCTAATAAGTACTATAGAGAATTGTTTCAAATTATTTTCTAGTTAGAATAGGTTAAAAGAAATCTTAATATAAAAATTTTAAATATGTAATATCTATAATTAGATTACAAATATAATAGCTAGTATAGAATGTATATAAATAAACTACTTAAACTAAATATCAAAACTTTATATATAATTAGTTATATTTTTTAATATAAATATAACTTTTTTAAGACTTTATTATGAATTCTTATATTTTAAAATATTAAATAAAAATTTTTAATTTTCAAGAGATTAGTTTAAAAAATATATATATATTTTATATAATTATATTGTAATTTAAATATATTAAATAAAAGTATAATAACTTAATAAAATAAATAACTTGTTAACTCTTCAAATAACAAATTGTAAGTTCAAAACTTATTAATAATAAAAATTTGAATTTTTACTTATATTATAATAACTGTTTTTTGGTGATTAAATTAAAATATCTATAATTATAATTATATTAGTATAATTAGCAAGTCATATAATATTCATATAACCTTAATTATACAGAAAAATGCAAACTAATATTAAGTAATAAAACTTAAAATAAATTTTTGCAACTGTATAAATTTGTAAACATTAATAAACTAAAACTTATTTAAGAGATAATATAAATCTTTAATAGTACTATTATAAAGACTAGATTTAGTAAACAGATATCAATATAAAGAAGCTAGATAGGCAAAAACTCTAAATGAAGAGTACTATCAATTAGACTACTAGTATTAAATCAAAAAAAAATATTAAGACCAAACTTGATATATCAAAAAATAAATCACAATCCTATTAAGTTATTTGAATTAAGAATTTGAAAACAAAATTAAAATATATTAAAGTATTAAAGATATGCTATAAAATAAATACTAAAATTTAGATAAACTTTAGTTTAATAATTAAATCTAATTACAAGTATTAATTTAACTATAGTAATATCAAATTATTATAAAATATATATATAAAAGATTCTAAAAATTTTATTTTAAGAATAAATTAATTCTAAAGTTGAGATAAAAATCTAATATAACTTGGTAAAAATGCAAGTTCAGAGGATTTAAAATAAAACAACTAAGCAGAAATATTAGATATAGTAATTAGTTAAGAATCTTTGAGTAGACTTTTTAAATAAGTAATATAATAAAGTTATATATGTAATCAATTATACACTTTTTTTGTAATAGTTCTATATAGAATTATATTACTTAAAAGGTATTAATAAAATCAAAAGTTATCTTAATATCAAACTAAAATAAATATATTAAATTAATATATTATGCTTAATAAGACAATTAATATAAATTTAAATTCTATTCAGATTCAAAAATTTGTAAAATTTAAAGTTTAGTTTAGATTCAATTAAATTTAAATCTAAACTAAACTAAATTTAGAAATACCAATTATAAGTAAAACCTATTATATATAAACTAAAATTAATTTTGTTTTGTTTGATATTAAGATAACTTTTTTGATCTTTTAACTTTATTAATATATTTTTAAAAATATAGTTTTATAAAAAATTATTACAAAAAGAATATACAATTGATCATTTATATAACTTTTTATATTACTTATTTAAGAAGTTCATCTAATATTCTCTACTAATTGGCATATTTAATTCTTCTGTTTGGATGTTTTATTAAACCTTCTAAACTTGTTCTATATCACTTTACTAAGTTAAGCCTAAATCTTTTATTTCAACCTTAAAACATTTTTATCTTTGAAATAAATCTCTCAAAATCTGCTATATACCTATTTTTGTAACTAATTCAGGTATTGCTATAACAGAACCAACACTTATAGTCAAGACTAATTATTAAACTGCTATGTTTTTATAAAGTTTACTTAAATCTTAGCATCTATTTTACATTATATCCTTAGTACTTTAATATACTTTTACTTCTTTTACCAAACTCCTAATTCAAATAAACTGTATAGTATTATGATTAGTCTATTAGTATCTCAGATTGATCCAATATTTTTTTCCTTTAGTCTGATCTGATAATTTGATTGGTAATATTTTTGAGAATTCTAACTCAAAGGTTTTTACCCATCCAACTACTTCAGCATTGGTATTTATTTTCTAAGTCTAATCTTTATAGTAATATTATAGAAAATCTGTATTATCTTTTTATTCAAGTCTTTTCAAAAAGACTTCTTGTTTTCTAATTTTTACAGATTTATACAGTTATAAGGACTTATCTTGAGGTTGTATTACCTGATACTGGTTTATATTTCTTTGTGTAACTAGTTACATAAATGTCTTATGACCTGTTAGTCATGCTGATATGACTATAATTACAAATATCTTAACCCAATCATTAGAAACAATTGTCATAATACAAGATTACATAGATGATTATTCAAATTTTCACCTTTGATGAGATTTAAACACCTAATCTATCACTTGAAAGATTAACAACCTGACCACTTCACTAAGTCACCACACCTCTCTGAACTGATATTAATAGAAATTAGGCAGATTGATATTTTTTTAAAAAAATCAATACTTTACCTTTCACAGCTCATATATTGATGAATTTAAAAGCTAGTTTGGTTATTTAATATTCAAAAGAAAACTTATATCTCAAGCTTTCTTTTGAATATTAAATAATCAAACTAGCTTCTAAATTTATCAAGATATAAGCTGTAAAAGGTAAGATATTAATTTTTTTAAAATGTCAATCTACCTGATTTCTATTGACGGCAACCCATATTATTTAAATATAATAATATCTAATTATAACATTTTTTTAAATCTTTAAATCTTTATACTATATAAAAATAATAGATTTTATAATACAGTATATATATAATGTATAAAACTATATACTAAAATTATAAAAAAAATATAATTAACTATATCTACTACAGTATAATTAATACCGATATATACTGCATACTCTGATAAGTTATACTATACTGGTTTTGAATTAGAATTATGTAATAATACAATCATGATCAAAATCGGAATTACTTGATTCAGGTAGACCTAAATAAAATCGAATGATAATCGTTACATATTTACTTTGATTTTTGGCATTACTGGATAGTGTACTGAAATCACTTGAAAGATGTTTTGGAAAGTTAGAAGTTCTGAGTAGTTGGCTTGTATAAAGTGCTGCTGAATGTATTTTTGACACAAAAGGTGGGGAGAGAAAATCACGCATAGAAGTTTTTTGGGGAAATTCCTTGGATCTTTGAATTTGTTTGTATAGTTCAGAATCTTTGTCATTCTTATCATTCCACCAATTATAAAATATTGTGAATAATTCATTCGCATTTGGACGAATAGCTGGATTAGGATCCCAGCAACGAATAATAAGTTTTTTAAATATATCTGGTACTTCGGGTTCAATTATCGGATATATATTGTTGAAAATTTTATTAAATATTAAATCTTCATATGACATTTCAAAAAAAGGAAGTCTTTCAGAAAGCAATTCATTCATAACGATACCGAAACCGTAAACATCTGAAGCTTTAGTGTATCCATGTTCTCGCAATACTTCGGGTGCGACATAAGGCAACGCACCATAGATTCCTCTTTTTTTATCAATTTCATCAATTGGAAAGCATAAACCCAAATCTGTGATGTTAGTTCCACTATATTTGTCGCATAAAATGTTCCCACTATGGAAATCTCCATGAACTAACCTAGCTGAATGAATCGCTTTAAGCCCCGTTGTAATACTTAATAGAATATCAATTTTACAAAACCACGACAATTTTCCCTTGTTTCTCCTTAAATAATTACGAATATTTCCATAGCTCGCATATTCTAAAACCATTATAAAATCATTCGTTTTCGGGTCTTTGGATATCCCATAACACCAGATAGTACTTCTTTCATATGCAATATTAATATGGAATTTTATCTAAACATTATATTACATATGATGCGCATATATAAGATCATTATACTGATACTATATACAATTTTGAAACAATCAAATTAATTCATACCTCCTGTAAAAATTCATCAAATTTACCACATGAATTGTGTAAAATCTTCAATGCGACTTTCATTTTACCTTTTCGTTTCCATTGCTGAGCCTGATCATTCCATTCTAGAATTCTTCCCTTGGGCCAAGTTGCCTTATAAACTTGGCCAAATCCACCTTTGTCTAAATATTCAATCCTTTTAAATTTATCATATGGAATCCATTCTAACACATTATAATCATTTGATGCATCCAATTGAGAATGCCTAATAAACTCATCGACTGCTTCGTTTCCACTTGTCCATTTGCTAAATTCTTTTTGAAAACGACAAGCATTACATTTTTTACACCAGTAATCTGTATCGTTTAGAGTTTGGCATTTTTTGCATGTTCGTTTTTTTATAGATAAAAAGATACTCAGTTTTTCAGTTAATAATCTTGATGTCATTTTTATGATTGATAAATAGTGTTCATCTTGCTGATTTCGTGAGATATCTAATATATTATGTATGCTAAATTGATCATGACATTCTAAATGTATATTTTTTATGGTGCTTAAAATATTTTTATCAAGATTTATCAGAATAACCTTTATTTCACTCCCTTTTTCATATTGCTGAATTTGAGCACCTATCCATTCGACAGAATAAATTTTGTATTCTGCGAAGTAGTCAATATTTTTAAGTTCATTAAATTGAATCCATTTTAAAGAGTACAAACCATTAAGCGCGTTCAATGGAGGTTCTTTGGTAAACTGACCGATATTGTGCTTTGATTTTTCCGAACCTTTTAAAATGAATTTCAATTTAAAACCATTGTAACTCGAATAGATTATCGTGGGGATATTGTTATTAGGACCTTTCTTAATTCTATATGTCTTGTTCATTTTTGAATATTATTTAATTTCAAAATTAATATTAAATTTCATAACTATAGTTGACGCAAAATAACTGACGCATATTGCCATATTTATCTATAGCATTAATGCGGCATTTCGGCAAAGCAGAATTATAAATTTATTTTGACGTCAACCAAACTTATAACAAAAGATGGGAACTGCATAGAGTGATTACGAAAGTTTCGGTTGTAATTTGATCATGCTACACATTTGGTCAGTACTTTGCATCGTCTGTTTGATAAGAATACAATCAAACCCTAGATGAAACTCCCTTGAAAAAACAACCTTGACCCCGTGATTCCAAGCTATTTCAACGACTAGGTCAGCCAAACAATATCTCAACATCCAAATTAACTGATACTGGCTTCTTTTGTTGACTCAGATGTAACGGGATCTAATATTTGGAAAGTATACCATACAAGGAAAGACCACGAACACAATATTCACGTCACTTATTGACATAACATTGGCCAGAATTAGGGACATTAATACCGCTGCAGCATGCGCACGGTCTAATTCTGCTGTAAGATCATGTGTTGTTATTACATTGTTTCACGTGATTATGTCACAATAGTCTTTCTGAATGTATTTTGTATAATTATGTAACTCTATAAAGTCGTCGAAATATATGCTTGGAGGCCATTTTTATTTAATGCGTAAACTGCCCATCTTATGAATTCATACAGGGGAGTCACCAAAATTCCGGGTCGGAATTGTAACCGATTGGATCGGGGATTAAAAATTTCGCCAAAATTTTATGAACGAAGTTATATTCCATTCATTAAGTAAAGTGCCAGTTGATAATGATATCGTTAACCAATATTACTTACCGACCAAGTCCTTATAAATTCCGACCCAGAATTTTGGAGATTGCACTGTAAAAAAAAACTTAATAAAACTTACTTTTTGCAAGCCACATGAAGCATCGATTATCCAAATTCTAGTGCAAAATCCTTTGGTTCGCTCATATTTAATCAATCCCAAACTTTGCGACACGCTCAATTGAATACGTTCGTTTACTTCGTGAACGATAAATATTTTGGCTTGTCCCTTCGTTAAAATTTTCCTTAGAATAAAGAAGAGTGCATTCGAATCATGCGATCGTATGCTAAACACCTTGTCCGAAGATTTTCGCGTTTTCGATTTTATCCCGGAGATTGAAATATCAAGAATAGTATTATTAATAATCGTAAAACTTATTAAAGTCATCAGAAGTAATAAAAACTATCATCATATTTGTTTGAGCTTTGCTCAAAAAAATGATAGTCGATGGAGCATGCACACATTTATAATAACATATCATTATGATTACTAAATGAATAACCGGAAAAAATACTTAGAGAATAGAATGCAAACACAGCATGGAAACGACCAATTTAGACTAATTATAGCTAGTGTTAATGAAAATATTTACCATTATATATCTATCGGATTTATGAAAATTTACTATGTTTATATTATTCTTTGTCTTAAATAAAATTTCGATTATAAAAATCGATTGCTCTATATAGCTTATCTACTTTTTATTTGTAACGATGTAAATGAAAATTGAATTTCTAGACTTAAATATGATTTGGTATTTAAGGATAGAGTGTAAGTTTATATAAAATAAAATCTACCTACAATTCTAATTTATCTACAAAATTTTATTGCCATCACTGACCTGTGAACTCGATTTTTAATACCGCTTGTATATGTTCGATTACTGTGCTAGGTACAAATATTGATATAAAAATTTCCTTACCATATTTCTCGAAAATAAGCGCCCACTTTAATTCGCATATACCTAAAAATAAGCACCACTTTAAGCAATCATAAGAATTCCACGCTAAGTAAATCTATTTTCAGCTTCTAAGCAAACTTGTTCTTCAAATCAAGGCGATTCTAGCGGTAGTAGAAATATCAAAATCGGCTCGTAATTACACTTTGAAGTTCGGGCAGCGTTGTTTACTTTTTGTTTGTGATCTACAGATCATGTAAACGAACGTTACTCGAACTTCAAAGTACAATTGCGAACAATCCATTGAGCCGATTTTGATGATTTTATCGCCGTTAGATTCGTCCCGATCTGAAGAACAACCTTGCTTAGAAGCCAAAATAGAATTCTTAGCACGAAACTCTATATGAATGATTTTTCCATTTATATCCAAAAATAAGCACCTTTATAGTGCTTATTTTCGGAGTCTACTACGTATTGATAGCATTGATAACTGAACTACAAACATTTTGTATGTTTTGTGCAACGAATATTATTATTTTGACACTCTAGAAATTCTTTTTTTTGGCGTATTCTTGTTTTAAGTATGTACATACCTTTCAGGGAATTTTCAGGATTATTATCAGTGCGTATTGTTCCACTAATTATTAAATCCAACTTATAATTGCATATTACATTATGCATGCATCAATATACCTTAAATATACATTAATAAGACTTACATGCCAATCGGTTAATTAGGCGATTATGATGATTATGATGATCGTCGTTGCATGGTTAAAATCCCACGCAAAAGCGGTGTTAGTCAAATTACAACTGACTTAAGATCAGAATTAGGGTACGGACAGGTCAAATTGGTCTAGCCAAGATTGATCGTAGTATGCCAGCCCTAATACTTATTGTAAACGTACAACTCTTAATTATAAATCACATTGAAACACAACTAGTTGAGGCTAACCTTATGCATTTGAAATGCCATTTAAACTGAATGACGATGTCTAAATTATTACTCATCTATATTTCATTGCACACTGTATACGTATAATCTAACCTAATTTCATTAATTCTTATCATTGACCTTTATTTGTCAACATAATAAGGTATTAAATTGATATAGATATTTTTTATATGAATATACAGTTGTTCTCATCTGCGGATAAACCAGATACCCTATAAAACAAACCACATAAATTCCCAGTTACCTTTGTAAATCTCAATAGCTTCAGAATAATAATTAAATTCTGCTAATATTCGGCTTTTAATCTTTTTACATTTTATTAAAATTCGAAACCGAATATTACCAGGATTTAATATTTACCCCGAAGCTATCAGGAAGTCACCAGGAATTTGGTTCGAAAAAAATGTGCATTTTCTGAAACGATAACGATAACCTGGAATGTATCGCCAGTGTTGGAAATCTGGTTTGAAATTTATGTTTTCATAAGAACACAATTTTTAATTTAATGTTCTCAAAAATAATAATTTTATATTCTCAATAACAAAAATTTCTGTTGTTATTTTTTAAAATTTTTTGGATAATATTGGTAATTTATTCAAATTTTTGTCTCAAACTTGCTCGTCTTTTATGTTCATTTTTTTAAAAAAAACTTTCAGACGTTACTTATTTTCTAATTGTTAACTTCATTAAGTACTATACTATATAGAGAACATATTTATGTTTTTAAAAAATTTTTTTTATAAAAAACATGTTTAAAGTAACAAATATTCTCAAATCTAAAAGTATGTTTTCTTAAAAACATGAAAACATTATATTTTCAATATTGATACTAATTACACTAGTTATATCATATTAATACATTAGATTACACAATATTATATAAAGTTATATATACAAATTTTACTTGTAATTGTATAATTGAATAATTATTATTTATATTTTTTTATTTAAAAATAATTACTTATTATATATGTATAGATTTTTCCTCTTAAGCTTAATAAGATTGTTAGAATTATTTTTGCAATTACATAGATGTACCTAACAACTAAGTTTAGCATTACTCAGTTACTTTAATAGTATCTAAATGCAACCTGTTATATTACTTTAAGCAGAAGTAATTTACTTGTTTAATTATTTAAAGTTCATAATAAAAAGGTTTTTATCTTTTTATAATAAACTTCAACATTGTTTTTCTAATTTCATCTTCAATTTGGTTTCTTTTTTTTTGATTTCTTTTTTTTTTTCTATTTTTTACTGATTTGTTTTCTTTTTTTTACTTAAATTCTTCTTTTTTTGGTTTACTTAATTACTTATTATATAATTAAAATTTTAATTTTTTTATAATTCAATATTCTAATAAAAAAACTTTATATTTAGTTTCTAAATAAACTTATTTAAACTATTTTAATATATTTTTTATTAGTATTTAATTATTTTTTTTTTTTGAACTTTGGCGACAATGCCAGTTGGTTTTTATTAGCCTTAATTTGATATAGTACAAATTTATGGT